TCCTTTGAGCGATGCTCTTTTGTCTATTTACAGGTTTGTCTCCATGTTGTCACATCCTCTATTGCTATCATGGTTCCCGACATGGTTGTGCGGGAAGAAAAATTTGAAAGGAAAAAGAGTTGAAGTAGAGCGTGTGATTCTCGCGTGAGCAGTGTGATAATTACTGAAAATGAGCGTGGACGCATACGGCCCCAGCTCCCAGAGTCTTACCTTCTATGACACCGAGGAAGCTGACCTTTTAGGGGCTGACACTCAGGGCTCTGAGTACGAGTTCAATCTCACGCTGGGTAGCCAGACCCAGACACAAGGAGACCCGCTAGACAAGACCCAGCCTACCCAGAGCCAGGTATATGGTGACTTCTCGCCACCTTGATGAGTAATATTATCATTGTAGAGTTGTACAAGTAGTAAAGTAGTTGTAAACACGAGGGACATGGCTGGTGTATCCCTCGTGTTCTGCTGTGACGTGGTACATTTCCTCCCTTATTTTACACATATTTCGACGTATATGTTACTTTATTTTGCATGTATTTTACGTGAGACGCGTCAACAAATGGATATCTATTTTTGTTGGTGACAGTTTTTATTTTTTGGGGAAACTGCTGCAGATGGACTACAAGATAGCAGTTGAGTGTGAGGTTAATGTTACAATTGGTGATTTATATGTAATGGGGATGTGATATAAAATTGCTTAAATACCATCAGGTACTTTGTGGTAGTTTGTCATTGTTACTCCCTCCTTGTCTCAAGTTTGGCTGTATGGTATAACACCTGTGACTCGTTTATAAAGTGTTCTTCCTGCACTGAATGTACCCATAGTTGATTACTGGGGTGAAACATGTAGGTAAGTCTCCTCACGCCTGCCCCTAGGTTAGGTTAGGTAAGGTTTGTTTGAAAACGGGATGAGCGTTTCCTGACGATGCTGGTCTAAGTCATGTTATGACCCACAGCTGGAGCTTATGGTCATCTCTGAGGCCTTCTGCTGGCTTACCAGTGCAGTCCCTTTCAAAATTATAGTTATGATAATAACCATTAGGTACGTTTTCTACCCCTATTATTGTATTCAGTGGCAAAAGATTACCCGACTCGGATACTTGTCTTATAATAAGCTGTTCAGTGGCACTGTTTGTTGGTGTACGTTGATTATAAATACGGCATTTGAATATATAATGGTGATGTCACAGATATTATAAAGTGACTGTTTTGTCAGAAATCTCTATTATTTTCACTATTTTCTTGCTGGGTGAAGTTCTCTCCCCATACATTGTATAAGTTTAGTAAAATTATTGGCAGCACTAACCTAATATAACATAATCTGATCTAAAATAAATCTTAAATTATGTTGGGTAATTTGGTTATATTTTACCAATTCACTGAGCCTGTGCCTGTCAGTGATTTGGAAATTTGGCAACATTCACTTAATTATGTTTCTGTTGACCCCTCAAGGGAGGTTCCTTGATGTTGGTGAGGGGCTCTTGATCTAGGGAATTTGATCTGTGCTCCAGTTCCCTGAATTGAGCCTGAATACCTTCCCCAGTCCCCCCACATGCACTGTATAATCCTATGGGTTTAGCACTCCCCCATGATTCTGATTCTAAATGTTTCTGTTGACTCCTGCAAATGAAGTAACTGTTGGCCTCATGAAGCAGACTGACTTCTGGCTTACCTGCTAAGCTCTGAGATGAGTGGCTGCCTCTGTTTATCTGACAATAAAAGGTACCTCAGGGTTTGTTGGCTGTTGTGGGTTGCATCCTGGTTGGAAGATACTAATAGAAATAAATCAGACTTGAGGGCCTATTGAGGTTAAGCAACCTAATAAAACCTTTATCCCTTTGCTCCATTATTTATAATTTAACATACTGCAGCTACATAAACACTAAATACTGGACTGGGATATCTAACATATATTGTAAAAATTGACAATTTGATCATTTAGTTGCAGAGTGTAATTATCTACACAAATTACCTATAAATAATGCATTTAACTTTATTTATTGGAACAATAAATAAAATTAAATGTGGCCAGTTCAGTTTTCAGACTGAGTTGTGTAATGATAGTGTTGAATTCAGCATTGAGGCCTTCAAGCAGATATTGAACTAACTTTGCATCCACATCTGGTATGCATGTAAGAAAGTATAAGGAAAAAAAATAGTATCCCGAGAAGTTTCAGTTTTTGAAACACCAGTATCAGGCAGCAGGTTCTGTGGCCTGTTAAAATATAATGACCTGTGACTGAATTTAGATTTTTCTACCTCACAGCCTGGCCTTAGGCCTTGAGTTATCCAAGAATATAATTTAGACATGTGGAACACTTGGGTAACAAACTCCTGTTTTTCACCATTCTCCTTTGTATGGACTGATGAAGCCACTGTGTGGCAAAACGTTTCCTCAATAAAGATACCCAAGTGTTGCACATGTGTCTAATTTATCAACTTGTTGGCTCTCTGAACCGTATCTACATCCTGTCAGACACAGCAACTTCTTGGGATGTCAGTACAGGGAATTCTTTGCTTGCTTAACCTTTAGGTATTACCTACTTCCACATTTGGATTTATCAAGTGTGATACCACCTACTACTGCTTCACCTCACCTGTCTTCAGTGTATAAGCTGCTGCTTCGCACATATGCTGTATTCTCTTCAAGATTGATGGACTGATTATGTTGACTCAAGGCTGAGGGAGTGATTACCTCAAACTCTTGTTCTTCGCCATTCTTTTTTGTATGGACTGATGAAGCCACTGTGTGGCAAAACGTTTCCTCAGTAAAGATACCCAATGGTTGCACATGTGTATAATTTATCAACTTGTCTGTTCTCTGAACCATTTATCTAAAATAAAATTTAGGTTGTGTTAGGTTAGTTTTTGCTTATTATTTTACAAAATTTGTAGCTGATTATTTTACTCAGTTTGTGCATTGGAGAAGTTTTTGCCAGTAGGAAAATATTGCAGACCTTTGATCTTTTAATACACAAACAGCTCAACAAAGAATGGCAGTTGGAACAGAAATTTAGTGCTACAGTGGAACCTTGGTTTTTGTTTCCCTGGTTGTCGTCGAATTTGGTTTTCGACAACATTTTTCATCAAGTTATTGTCCCAGTTTTCATTCGTCACCTCGGTTTTTGTCCACTGTACCGAATGTGTCCATCTGCCTGCGCCCACACAAAGCATCCCATTCTGAGTCAGTCTGGCTTTGTTTTTCGTCAGGTGAACATTACCCTGCGCATTAATACAAAACATTTTGTAATAATCCATCTTTTTTTTGTGCTTAGATTATTGAGTGTGACTGCTAAATATGCCACCATGGGGCCAAAGAAAGTTCCGAGTGCTGGCCCTTTGATAAAGAAGGCGAGAAACAATAAAATTCAGTAGTGGTAGAGGGTGGTTGTGGTTGTGATGGTGGTAGAGGATGGTGGTAGTGATGGTGGTAGAGGGTGATAGTGGTAGTGATTGTGGTAGAGGGTGGTAGTGATTGTGGTAGAGGGTGGTAGTGATGGTGGTAGAGATTCTCTCTCTCCTCTTCATCGTTTTCCATACACCAAGTCTTCAATAAATGTAAAAGTGATTGAAATGTTCATTTATCCATTTCATTAGTGCTTTATATTTATTTCTCATTGTTTTCTGTATGCAAAACTATAGTTATTCTCAATAAAATGTATTTTTTGTTAATATTTTTGGTTGTCTGGAACAGATTATTGGATTTACATTATTTCTTATTGGAAATATTGCTTCAGTTTTTGTCTAATTCGGTTTTCGTTGGACGCTCTGGAGCAAATTAGACAAAAACCGAAGTTCCACTGTACTTGAAACCGTACATGCCTCTCATACTCATTTAAAGATGTTTAATTTATACAAGCACTTTTCACTTGTACATTTTGCAAACTTTTACCTACTTCAGACCTCTGCTGAAAAAGCTGTAACAGATAACATGGACATGACAAAGCTCTCTTTGGTACAAGTCTTCCATCACAAATCCAGCATCACTGGGACCTGTAGTGTACCAGATTACTGAGTTTGCCGGATTACAGAGTGGTTAGGTTAGAATACACTTAATAAAATTAGCTAGCTTGACTTGCACAAGAAAGTTTATTGAACATCGGCAAAAATCAAACATTTCGCTACTTTGAGCTCAATTTCAAGGTACTTTTCGTCATGAAACCAATCAAAATCATATCTATTTCTGTAATATATCTTCCATTCTATCAAATGAGACCAAAAAAATGAGATACAACCATAAAAACCACATGAAAATATACCGCAAAGAGGCAGCTAATGGCTGAGAAGTGAACTGTTTGTCATCCGATTTTTTTTTAATTTTTGGTGTACGTTAAGAAACATCTTTCCATCATACATTGCCCAAGTTTCAATAAGATAACTCAGCAAACAACTGAGAAAAAAAGTATAAACCAAAAATCATATTGTGTGATAATCCAGTGGTACTAATAACTACGTTTTTGAAGCACTTAAAAAAGAAAGAGAAAGAAATCCAGCTGAAACCGAGCAGTAGTGACATCCAAGAGTCTGTTGATTATTATTGGGCTGACTGGTGTCAATTTCCCTTGGTCTCAAGTCAGCGAAGTTCGGCTCTGTGCATACCACCCGCACACCACCAGTCAACGATACATCAATCAGTAATGTAAGGATTATAGTAAACTCTTACCTCAGTGTATATACCATTACTTCATTCCTTCCTAAAGGACCCCAATGGAAATAAGTCACTCTTTTGGGTTATCCTAGGTTCTCTACACATATGCTGCTATGTATGATAATCTGTGAAACTGTATTTCGGTATACCTGAATAAATTTACTAATATTCTGTCGACCGAGTACAAGAAACTGCCCATTCACCTATTTCAACTACCCAATAAAGTGGTCAGAAATTGGCAATTTGGCCAATTTCACACAAATTTCAATAGATGTCAATTTCAAAATAGGGTCCAGAATAAACAATGCAGACATTCCTGGCACTAAAATAACATTTTCTCTGTTCATTAGTCACGGCTCCAGGCCCCTCTTATATTACTCTTGTGTAATATTTGGAATTTTTATTTACACAAAAAATAGGAGATTTACTGTTATGCAGACTACTGCGTTATTGTAATAATTGTATAAATAATGCCAACCCATTCTTGACTGTGTATCGGAATTTGGACTGGCAGGCACACACGTATTAAACAGTGACATCATTTGTTTACTTTTGAAGATCGCTAAAGCATAGAACATTTCTGCTACTTTGAGCTCAATTTCAAGGTACTTTTTGTTGTGAAAGCAATCAAAATCATATCTATTTCTGTAATATATCTTCCGTTATATCAATTGAGATAAAAAAACGAGAATACAGCCATAAAAATCGTACAAAAATTATACCACTAAGGGGAGGCTAATAACTGAGAAGTGAACTCCTTTATTTATGGTCTAATTTCTTTCATTTTTGGTGTACTTTTAAGAAGCATCTTTCCATAATACATTTATTTTTATTTATTTATTTAAAATTTGAGCACACATACAGAGGTACAAAAAATACAGATAAGAGCAGCATGCCAAAGCCACTTATACTATGCATAGCATTACGGGCTGGCTTAAAATTAACTTAAGATTAACTAAGCAGTGATGAAATCAGTGATAAAACTTTAATGTAAACAGATTACTATAAAGCACAAGTGAGTATTACAAAAAGCAAGGTCATATGGTTGTATGCATTGTTGTACATTCAGTAGAATGGAGTATTCTGTTAGGTAGTGTATTTAAAAAATAATAAAGTTACGTAGATTGGGTTTTAGGTTTAACATTTATGTGATATAATTGTGAGAAACATTTAAGATATACAATTTATAAGGTTCAGTTATTCAGTATTTATTTGGTTTTGGGTGTGGTAAGTGATCTTTGAGAAGAGACTTGAATTTATAAACAGGTAGTGTTTCTTTTATATTTACAGGTAATGAATTCCAGATTTTAGGGCCTTTTATGTGCATGAGTTTTTGCATAGTGTGAGATGGACACGAGGAACATCAAAGAGTGATCTGTGCCTTGTGTTATGGTCATGTGTTCTGTTGAGGTTGGCAAGGAGATGTTTGAGGGGAGGGTTAATATCAGAGTTAAGTGTTCTATGTATGTAATAGGTGCAGTAATAAGTATGGATGTTTTGTATGGTGAGTAGGTTTAGTGTATTGAATATTGGTGGAGTGTGCTGCCTATAGTGAGAATTTGTTATCATTCTAACTGCAGCCTTTTGTTGGGTAATTAGTGGTCTGAGATGGTTACTTGTTGTTGAGCCCCATGCACAAATTCCATAGATGAGATAGGGGTAAATAAGAGAGTGATATAGGGCCAGGAGGGCTGACTGTGGAACATAGTACCGTATCTTCGATAGTATGCCTACAGTCTTGGAAATTTTCTTAGAAATTTGTTGTATATGTGTATGAAATTTGAGTCTATTATCAAGGTGGATTCCTAAGAATTTTCCCTCTGTTAGCTTTGTGATAGGTGATCCGTTTTATCATTATGTTAAGAGGGACATCTGTAGCTCTGTTACCAAACTGAATGAAGTAGGTTTTGTCAATGTTTAGTGTAAGTTTGTTAGTCCTCATCCAGGTAGATATTTTCTGTAATTCGGTATTTACAGTATTGGCTAGCGTGACTGGGCTCGGGTGGGAGAAGACGTATGTAGTGTCATCTGCAAATAGTGTGGGTTTGAGTAATTGCGAAGCATTTGGTAGGTCATTTATGTATAGGAGAAAGAGAAGAGGGCCAAGGACACTTCCCTGTGGGACACCAACTGTAATTGGTTGTGCAGAAGAGTTTGCCCCATTTGCATACACATATTGGCTTCTGTTGCTGAGGTATGACTTGAGGTAGTTGAGGGAGTGCCCTCTTATACCATAGTGTGACAATTTTACGTGGAGCAAGTCATGGTTAACTGTATCAAAAGCTTTACGTAAGTCAATGAAGATCCCCAGTGGGACTTCTTTTTTCTCTATTGCAGTGTATATATGTTCTAGCATGTGTATAATAGCATCATTAGTATTTTTATTTGGCCTGAATCCAAATTGGCAGGGGTTGAGTATGTTTTGGGAGATAAGGTAGGAGTAGATTCATTTATGAATTAATTTTTCGAAGATTTTTGAGAGAGGGTGTAAGTTGGATATTGGCCTATAGTTATTCAACTCTGTTTGGCCCAAGTTTCAATAAGATAGCCCAAAAAACCAGTGAGAGAAAATAATAATAATAATAATATCTTTATTTACTACAAATACATGTAGTATATGGTATACAGGCCTAGCTGACATCAGTAACATACTGCTAAATAGAAAGCCCCTTGTTATGCTGAGCATTTCAGGCAAATTAGGTCAGTGTCCCAGGATAAGACCCACATCAGTCCACTGACGGGTGAACACAGACAACAGGTGTAAAGAAACACGCCCAGTGTTTCTACCCTGGCTGGGAATTGAATATTTACCAAAAATCATATATGGCAAGCCCAAGCCAGGTACTAGAAATAAGCCACTTTGACATTTTTGGGTTATCCTAGGTTTTCTACACATATGCTACTATGTATGATAATTTATGCATAGAAAATAGCTTTTTTGTTTTAGTTTTATGGTGCAGTATGAGTGTATATCACAGCCCTGTGCTATACTACATTTTCTCTAATATAAGCCCTCAAGACAGGGATAGGAGAATGGTACTTGTATCTCATATCCTCTTCATACCTCTGTTGAACCGCTCATTATTGTGCCAAATATTATTAATTCTGGAGTATTTAACATGTTTTTATCTTATTTATATTGTTTATCATGTCATATTAGATCAGTTGTGATAGGCAAATGAGCCATAGTGTTGATATTAGCGAAATAATAAAGAATATTCCCCTGCATCATGAGACTGAGCTCGTGGCAACCGACAGTGGCTTCTAAGCCATCTTATCTTTTATGGACAATGTACTGTGTATGTGCTTTACACAACGAGAAGCACTTCTTTTATTTGTTGGAACCATGGCTAGAGCTAAAAGTAAGCAGGTTATAACAATAAATGGAGAAAAAGAAACTGGAATGACTAATGCAGCAAGTAGTGCCACCAAACAGTACCAGCAGGTTGGTGTGGCAACCCTGGAAATTTGAAATTATGCTAGCCGAAATTAGTGCCGAACAACTGATGGAATCGGGTAACTGATTGCCGGATTTGTGATGGTGGACCTGTATGCCTTGTGCACGATTCAACCTGCACGAGTCTCAGAGGTGATAAATTAGACACAGTGTATCATTACCATTTAAAATCTTGTACTATGCCCTCACAATTGTTCCTATTACAATATTATCACCATTGTTCCTTAATTATTCCTTCTGCCAAGTCACTGAACTAAACAAATACAGTACTGTCAATTACCATTATTGATTAGTTGGTTAATGTGTCCTGTAGCTTGATGGTGTGTCCCATAGCTTGAGTGCTAGTGCACTCAGCTCATATACTGAGGTCTGTGGTTTCATCTTCGGCACAGGTGTCTCCTGGTGTTGCAAAATATTTGAAAAACAAAAAAAATCATATGAAATGATAGAGAATCTTTTCCCAATGGTAATGACACCAAAAGTATGAAATTTGATGGAAAATTTGCTGAATTATGCTCTCGCGAAGTTAGCAACCTCAGCAATAGTATTTACGAATCGACGATTTCACCCAATTTGAACCCAATTTTAGGCTAATTCCATTGTTCCAGTCGACCAAACTCATAACTATTTCTTTAGAACTCCATTTGTTCTATTGATTGAGTACAAGAAACTGCCCATTTACAGATTTCAGCTACCCAATAAAGTGGTCAGAAATTGGCAATTTTGCCAATTTCACACAAATTAAAAAATATGCCAATTTCAAATTAGGTTCCAGAATGAACTATGCAGACATTCCTGGCTCTAAAATAACATTTTCTTTGTTTATCAGTCACGTCTCCAGACCCCTCTGATATTACTCTTGCTTTCTATATTGAATTTTTATTCAAACAAAAAATAGAAGATTTACTGTTATGCAGACTACGGCAATATTGTAATAATTGTGTAAATAATGTCAACCCATTCATGACTGCATATTAGAATGGCTAATTGGACATTTATTGGACAATGACATCATTTGTTTACTCTTGAACTTCGGCAAAAATCAAACATTTCCCCTAATTTGAGCTCCATTTCAAGGTTCTTTTCATAGTAAAACCAATCAAAATCACCTCTATTTCTATAATATGTTTTCCACTCTTTCAAATGTGACTATGAAAACAAAAATATTTGTGGGATAACTGCCAAGGCTCCTTTTTGATGGTCTGATTAGGAAGACTTGGTGCCTGCATTCTAATATAGGCACCACAGTCTGGCCAATCAAAGATAGTTTGTAAGAACTTTCTGTGTTTCTCATAAAAATATGAGTCTGTATAATTTTTGTTTCAGTTTAAAGGAGGGTTTTGTGAAACTGAGGTCTTTTTACATTATTATAATTCTCATTTTATGCTTTCTGCATCCCTGCCTTTCATTCAGGCTGTTTTATACCATCTCTCATGCCTTCTGTTTCTGTAGGGAACTATTTCAGTGGTCAGATTTAAAATGTTTCATTTTTCTTCTTAAGGTGACGGTGAATGGCGATGTGGGGGAGCCCGAAGTTGAAAAGGCAACAGAAGCACTTGCCGATTTGCAGTTTGAGGAAGAGGATGAAGAAAATGCATTCTATACGAAGGTGAGTTGTTTTTTCTCATGTTGGTTTTCATGCCAGTTATGTATTTCATATACAGTGGACCCTCAACCAATGGCATTAATCCGTTCCAGGGAGCTTGCCGTTAGTTGAATTTGCCATTGGTCGAATTAATTTTCCCCATAAGAAATATTTAACAAAATAAATAAAATAAATACAAAAGTATTTAACAAAATTATTTTTTACATGAAATATACATTTCCCTATATAAAAACCAATGGTACATGCAAAATAAACAATAATTAAATGCCACTTACCTTTATTGTGGAGTTGTTGTTGAATGATGTGCTAGCATTAGAGGAGATTGAGGTATTTTATTGTTTGGAAGGGGAATCCCCTTCTATAGAGACTTGAGGTACCAAGTCCTTTGGTGGGGTTACCTCCCTTATTGGTTTTTTAATGCCACTAGAACCAGCTTGAGGATCACTGGACCACCCTCTACCACCATCACTACCACCCTCTACCACCATCACTACCACCCTCTACCACCATCACTATCACCCTCTACCACCATCACTATCACCCTCTACCACCATCACTATCACCCTCTACCACCATCACTATCACCCTCTACCACCATCACTACCACCCTCTACCACCATCACAACCACTACCACCCTCTGCCACCATCCCTACCACCCTCTACCACAATCACTACCACCCTCTACCACAATTACTACCACCCTCTACCACCACCACTTTCGTATTTTTATTCAAACTTTTTCTTGAATTCTATCGTGTTTCTTACGCCCTAGGGCTGGCTCTAGAAGCTTTCTTGGGCCCATAGTGGCTTATTTAGCAGTTAGAAGCACTAAAAACACTTAAATAATCCAAAATACAGTTGTCCCTCAATCGTCTGGCCTGAAAGTCGTCCATTTCGGAAATAGTCCCGTTATTTCGTCTAAACATTGGCTCGCAAATGGTCCGTTAACTTTCTAATCGTCCTTCATCCGGGACATGCTCCTACGAAATATTTCATAATATTCCATTGATTTTAGTGCTTGCAAGTGCTAAATAAGCTACCATGGCTCCAAAGAAAGTTTCTAGTGCCAGCCCTTTGGTAAAGAATGTGAGAAACATATAATTTATGAAAAAGTTTGTAGAAAAATACAAAGGTGGTGGTGGTAGAGTGGAAGCAGTTGTGATAGTGGTTGATGATGGTAGTGATGGTGGTAGAAGGTAGTAGTAGTGATGGTGGTAACAGTTGTAATACATGTAGTTGCTAAATTAGACACGTGCAACTCTTGGGTATCTTTATTGAGGAAATGTTTTGCCACACAGTGGCTTCATTAGTCCATACAAAGGATAAACTTGAAGAACAGGAGGAGAATGAGGTAATCAGTCCCTCAACCTTGAGTTGATGTGGTCAGTCCATCAATCTATTCTATTTAGCAACATGTCGGTTCTTTGAACCATTCATCTACAATCCTGTCAGACACTGCAACTTCTTGGGATCTTAATACTTGGGAATTCTTCGCTTGCCTAACCCTTGGGCACGACCTACTTCCACACTGGACAAATGTGACACCACCTACGACTGCTGCACCTCTCCTGCCATACGGTTTATAAGCTGCTTCTCCGCTCATATGCCGTATTCTATTCAAGATTGATGGACTGACCACATCGACTCAAGGTTGAGGGACTGATTACCTCATTCTCCTCCTGTTCTTCAAGCTTCTCCTGTGTATGGACTGATGAAGCCACTGTGTGGCAAAACGTTTCCTTAATAAAGATACCCAAGAGTTGCACATGCGTCTAATTTATCAATGTGTCGGTTCTGTGAGCCATTCATCTACAAAATGACCTCTACCCAAAGCTACCCAAGAATTTACTCCCATACCCAATGATACAAATCAAACCCAGCCCCTCCCACTCATATATTTGTCCAATCTCTTCTTAAAGCTACCCAAGGTTCTAGCCTCGATCACCCTACTGGTAAGTGTGTTGTTACATATGAACATAAGAACTTAAGAAAGTAGGAACACTGCAATAAGCCTGTTGGCCCATACTAGGCCGGTCCTTCACAAATCCAACCCACTAACAAAACAAATGCTACCCAAGCAATAAGCTCAGGTGCAAGTCCGACTCAAATCCAACCCCTCTCACTCGTGTATTTATCCAACCTAAATTTGAAACTACCCAATATTTTAGCTTCGATCACCCTACTAGGCAGACCGTTCCACTCATCAACTACCCCTATTACCAATGTTCATTTATACATTTTATTAGTGCTTTACATTTATTTGGCATTTTTTTTCTGCATGTAAATCTATATTTATGCTAGGGAAGTGACCTAGAGTCCTTATGGAGGGGGATTCCCCTTCCAAACAATAACCTCTCTTCCCTCTCTCCTCCTCCCTGTCTTCCATTCATCAACAACAGCCTTCAATAAAAGTAACTGTCATGTTGAATGTTCATTCTTTTGTGCATGTAAATCTATCTTTTAGGTAAAAAAAAAAATTGTTGTTGATACTTCTGGGTGTCTGGAACGAATTAATTGGATTTACATTATTTCTTATGGGGAAAATTGATTCGAAAATAGTCTATTTTGATAATAGTCCCACTTCCAGGAATGAATTAAGGACGATAATTGAGGGACCACTGTATATGCAGTTGCGCATGGGATCGACTGCAACAGCTTGTAAACAATGGCACACGGAGTCTTGGAGTGGCTGGGCCCGCTCAGGCCACGCTCCTTGCGCATGGACACATCCTGGATGAACGTCGTTGGTAGAGTTTTTCGCCTTTGGTAGAGACATTTTTTTACACCAAAAAGCGCCGTTAGACGAATTTACCATTACTTAATGCCGCCGTTAGTTGAGGGTCCACTGTATTTCCCAGTCTTGGAATCCTGTTTTTATTTTCTACTGATCGTTCATGATCCCATGCCTTTAATGGATATGTGGGTCAGAAGGGTGCTAACATCAACAGCATTGTTGACAGAAATTTACGGAATTACTCTCAGCAAAGTTAGCGGTCTTGGTGATATTTACACAGCAATTTTGCCACTTTGAGCCCTATTTTGGGCCAATTCCATTGTTCCAACCTAACTTGTAGCTATTTTGCTAGTACTCTATTGAGTACAAGAAATTGCCCATTTGCCCATTTCAACTACATAATAAAGTGATCAAAAATTGGTAATTTGGCCAATTTCACACAAAATTCAAGAAAGGCAAATTTCAAAATAGTCCAGAATAAACAATCAGACATTCCTGGCACTAAAATAACATTTTCTCTGTTCATTAGTCATTTCTCCAGGCCTCTCTTAGGCTTGCTTTCCACTGAGTTTTTATTCACAAAAAAAAAAAAAAAGATTTTACTGGTATGCAGATTACAGCCTCTCCTCATACTCATTTACCGACGACTTGGACTTACGACGGGCTCTCTGACCAGTATGCATACCTAAATAATGTACAGTGGACCCCCAGATTACGTCATCGGGATACGTAATATTCAGAATAAGTAACGTTTTTTCGTCAAAATACAGTGGACCCCCGCCTTACGAACGCATCGCGTTACGTTAAATTTGCCATGCAAAGCATTTGAACGCAAAAATTTTGCCTCGCCTCACGATAAAAAACTCGCCTTACGTGATTTGTCCGGGACGCGTCCCACGTGTGGCCTTGGCGCCAGTGTTTACAAGCCAGCCAGTGCGGTCACATCTACGCATACATTCGGTACATTTCACATTATCCCAGTGTTTTTAGTGCTTGTAACTGCAAAATAAGTCACCATGGACCCCAAGAAAGCTTCTAGTGCCATCCCTTGGTAAAAAGGGTTAGAATTAGTATGGAATTGAAAAAAGAGATTAAGGAAATGTGTGCAAAGTGGGTTGAACTGCAAACCTTTACAGATGAAAATTGCCCTGACACAGCTACTGCAAGCCATGTTGGCAACCTGTACAATGACAATGTTATGGCCCATTTTAGGAAAGTCTTGAAGGGAAGGTACAGAGCTCTATGGACAGATTTGTTGTGCGACAGAGGTCCAGTGACTCTCAAGCTGGCCCTAGTGGCATTAAAAGAAGGGAAGTAACCCCGGAAAAGGACTTGCTACCTGAAGTCTTAATGGAAGGGGATTCCCCTTCTGAACAATAACTTCCACACACTCCCCTCCTCCCATATCATCAATCATCACCAGATCTTCAATAAAGGTAAGTGTCATGTATTCTATTCTTAGTAGAGTAGTAATTGTGCAGGTCTTCTTCAGTTTGTGTGCATTAAAATAAATATTTCGTGGTAAAATTTTTTTTTTTTTTTAACTTTGGGGTGTCATAAACACGCTAGATAACAGGGATATCTTGCTACTCCTACTTACACTTTGGTCACACTTCACAGACACGCACATGCATATATATATATATATACATACATCTAGGTTTTTCTCCTTTTTCTAAATAGCTCTTGTTCTTTTTTATTTCTTCTATTGTCCATGGGGAAGTGGAAAAGAATCTTTCCTCCGTAAGCCATGCGTGTCGTATGAGCGACTAAAATGCCGGGAGCAATGGGCTAGTAACCCCTTCTCCTGTATACATTTACTAAAAAAGAGAAGAAGATTAATACTTGACGTGCTGTTGGAGTGTGAGCAAAGTAACATTTATGAAGGGATTCAGGGAAACCGGCAGGCCGGACTTGAGTCCTGGAGATGGGAAGTACAGTGCCTGCACTCTGAAGGAGGGGTGTTAATGTTGCAGTTTAAAAACTGTAGTGTAAAGCACCCTTCTGGCAAGACAGTGATGGAGTGAATGATGGTGAAAGTTTTTCTTTTTCGGGCCACCCTGCCTTGGTGGGAATCGGCCAGTGTGATAATAAAAAAAAAAAAAATAAAAAAAATAAAATATTTCTTATGGGGAAAATTGATTCGGCTAACGATAATTTTGGCTTACGATGAGCTCTCAGGAATGGATTAATATTGTAAGGCGGGGGTCCACTGTATTGGCTCAGTGATCGTCACTGAACTTTGTATAAATCATTTATCTGGAATGTGTCCGCATGGCCTGAGTCGCCCCAACACTCCATGTATAGCCAGCGTGCCATTGTTTATCAGCCAGTGAGGACGATCCCATGCATTCATGCGATATATTTTGTATTACTCCATTCTTTTTAGTGCTTGCAACTGCTAAATAAGCCACCATGGGCCCAAAGAAAGCTCCTAGTGCCAGCCATCCCTTTGGTATAGGGCTGAGAGAGAGGGGAGAATGTGCTTTTTTCAGTGATTCTGCAATATGTACGATACTAAAGCAGCAGTTGATAAAGGCTATAGCGCCAGCCAGCGATAAAGTGTGGCATTAACAGTGTAGCAAGTAAGTTAAGTGATTAATCGATAGATAAAGGATAGCATGAAACTGACTCCTCCAATGTTGTTGGAGGTATATAGGGCTACTGACTAACACCGCCGCCTCTGCGGCCTCTTACTGCCGCCTGCTTTCAGCGGCCCTTATACGCCCAACAACAAACAACACACCACTCGTGACTTTCTTAATGCCATACTTTATTCATTCTAGAGTATATTTCATGTTTCTATGTTATTATTGTTTGTCATAGTAGTTGAATTGTGCTAGATAAATAAGCCGTAGTGCTGATACTAGTGTCATATTGAAGGACTATCTTGTCCTGTCTCCCAACACAATTCCTAACATACGCCAGAAACAGACCTCTCTGGAACACACTTTTGAGCGACAGGGGTCCAGTGACTCTCAAGCTGGTCCTAGTGGCATTAGAAAACAAAGAAGGGAAGTAACACAGGATATAGACTTGGTACCTGAAGTCTTATGGAAGGGAATATCCCTTCCAAACAATTGTAAACAACCCTATCATCTCCCCTCCTCCCGTCTTCCATACATCACCACGTCTTCAATAAAGGTAAGTGTGATGTTAATATTGTTTTATTCTTCACGTATCATTGTTTTCTGTGTAGGTAAATGTATATTTCACGTAGAAAACATTTTTTTAAATACTTTTGGGTGTCTGAAATGGATTAATTGGATTTCCATATTTGTTATGGGGAAAATTAATTTGGAATTAGTCAGATTCGGGTTTATTCACTCTCTCTGGAATGGATTAATTATGAAAATTGGGGGTTCAATGTATATTAGAGCTGATTTCCTCTATTCTGTTTATGTATTGCAATATACAGTGGACCCTCGTTTATCGGCTGTTCCTGTTATCGGCCAACTTGTTGATCAGCCAGTTTTTCGGCTTCCAGTGATCAGCTGTTATTTCGGTGATTGGCCGTTTCTGACACTTCTGTCCGCCAGCTCGGGTCGCTTGCATGTCAGTTTGGCTGTGTCTTTTGGTGCGTAAGGAAGCTTTTGCTCATACATCCAAACATTTTGCTTGTTTTCCATTGCTTTTGTGGTTTTTTTTTGCAGTGCAACTGTGAAATAAGTAACCATGGCTCCAAAGAAAGTTCCTAGTAAAGTTCCTGTGGTAAAGAAAGTGAGAAACACCATGGAATTTAAGCATGAAGTGTAGCAGGCATGCAGGGAGTGTAGCAGGCATGCAGGGAGTGTAGCAGGCATGCAGGGAGTGTAGCAGGCATGCAGGGAGTGTAGCAGGCATGCAGGGAGTGTAGCAGGCATGCAGGGAGTGTAGCAGGCATGCAGGGAGTGTCAGGCTGGAGTGTGCAGGCATGCAGGGAGTGTGGCAGGCATGCAGGAAGTGTGGCAGGCATGCAGGAAGTGTGGCAGGCATGCAGGAAGTGTGGCAGGCATGCAGGAAGTGTGGCAGGCATGCAGGAAGTGTGGCAGGCATGCAGGAAGTGTGGCGCATGCAGGAAGTGGGAGGCAGCAGGTGTGCAGGCATGCAGGAAGTGTGGCAGGCATGCAGGAAGTGTGGCAGGCATACAGGAAGTGTAGCAGGCATGCAGGAAGTGTAGCCGGCATGCAAGAAGTGTAGCAGGCATTCCAGAAGCCAGCATTAGTCTTCAGTAAAGGTATGTAACACTGATTTAATTGTTAAAAAAATTATTTTTTGGTGAATATTTTTGTCTGGAATGGATTAATTGTAATTAATTCATATGGGAAATACGTAATATTGCAGATTTTGGCCAAGCTTCTGGAACGGATTACGGCTGATAACCGAGGGTCCACTGTACAGTTCACTACTGTATAAACATTTAAAAATTTACCATATATATTATAAATGGTGCAGAGGTGACATTAATACAGCCTCTCCTCACATAACGACAGAGTTCCATTCCTAAGACCACATCGTTAAACGAATTCATCACTAAGTGAGGAGCATACTGTAATGGTAGTGGGTTAGTGTCAACTATCTTTGATATTGCACCATTTATAACATTTCTGGTATATTTTTAAATGTTCATACAGTAGTGTACTATATATTGAAATACATGTAAACAGAAAAGAGGAAATCAGCTCTAATATACATTATTTAGGTATAAGTACTGGTCAGAGAGCCCATCGTAAGTCCGAGGCATTGGTAAACGAGTACATCACCAAGTGAGGAGAGACTGTACAGTATCAAAGATGGTTAAAACAAACCTACTACCATTATTGTATGCTCCTCACTTAGCAGCGAATTCATTTACCAACATGGTCTTATCAACGGAACTCTGTCTTTAAGCGAGAGAGGTTGTACTGCATTATTGTAATAAACGTATAAGTAGTATCAGCGCATTCATAGATGTGCTGATAGTATTTATACAATGTGACGTGTATTGGATGGGTGACTTTCTTGGTTTACTCTTGAATATCGGCAAAAATTGAACATTCCGCTACTTTGAGCTCAATTTCAAGCTACTTTGTCCCAAAATCAATCAGACTCATGTCTCTGTGTGTAATATATCTTCCATTTTATCCATTGGGACCAAGAAAATTAGAATACAACTATGAAATCCATATGAAAACACACCACAAAGTCTCCATTTTAAATAAAAAACACGGTTGCAATTTTTTTTTCTTGTTATTCACTGCGTGCTGTGAGATTTTTCTTTTTTTTATGTTGTTCACACTTACTGCATAGACTCATTCTCTCATGCCTAGGCCCAAATTTACCACTCAGAGCTTATCTGAGTGAGCGGAGTTCATGGCATCATACTGCGGGACCTACACTGGATTCAAAACTGTGATATAACGGGACCAACAACGAAAGAGTTGATATTCAAAATGTATGTGGCCAGCAGTGGCCGCATACATTTCTACCCCTAGTATAATCCTGTCAGAGGGTATAATTTTTATTTTGCTTTACTTTTTCAGGAACTTCCAGAGTGGGCATGCCGCTATTGTGGGATCCATGATCCGGCATCTGCCGTCATGTGCAATGTTTGCCACAAGTGGTTCTGTAATGGCCGTGGAAACACCTCTGGCTCGCATATCATCAACCATCTTGTTCGTGCTAAGCACAAGGTATGGCTAGCAACCATTTCTCAAGTCATATTTTTTTCAAATGTGTATACGATTTCTGAAATAAGATTGGGAGATTGCAGTATAACGTCTGTGATTACTTTGTCAGTGAATGAATCACTTGCTCTAACTCTTGAAATGTGTCCGTCGTACTAGTACGCAGGTGCTGGTACTGTGTCCAACATACTAGTACACAGGTGCTGCTACTGTGTCCGACTTACTACAGGTCCACATCGCTGTATCTGAAATTCTGAAATTCAAAAAGTTCCGAAAGCCGAAGTTTTTTTTTTTTTTTTTTTTTTAGAGTATGGAGTGACAGTCGTCTCTGTGCTGGGTCGCGCCGCCACTTGGCGGCATTGAGAATCATTTTGAAATTCAAAAAAGTCTGAAATTTGAAACGATACAGGCCCCATGGGTTTTGGATAAAGGGATGCGCACCTGTAGTACACAAGTGCTGCTACTGTGTCCGACGTACTAGTATGCAGGTGTTGGTACTGTATCCGATGGCCTAGTAAGCAGGTTGTGAGACCTTTACCCACTCTGCCGGTTGTATCCCAGCAAGTGAGCACATCTCCTGTATTATCCCAGTGCTTAACAGAATAGGGAATAGCATAAGAGGGTACAAAATAAAAATGGGAGCAGTGGCTATAGTTTACCTAATGAAGAGAGGGAATACAATATATTCTTATGGAGAATTACGTAGTATAATAATTGACCTATGAGACTTACTACCAGGGGAAGGTGGGGATGTTATCAGTAACACAGACGTGTACTCGTTCTTAATTTGCCAACCAGCTGACCTGAGCTCCACCCTGCGTGGCCCACTACACACTCAGCTGTCCAGAGCTCCTACTCACCGGCCTAACATAATCAGTAGCTGTTTCCTAGAGCTTATATGGTCCTTAAAGCAACCCCTAAACTCCAGGTTTAGGGGTTGACCCCCCCCCCATGAGGCATACACCACGTGTCAAGACCTGACGCCTACAGTTATCACATCAAGGGTTGACTTCTCGAACGATGAGACCTGAGATGACCGGCGCCAGAGTTCCATATTTCTAACACCTTTCTGCCAGGGCAAGGGCTGTGACAGTTTACACTGGTTGGTGAGGTCAGCCTGTGACCTCAGTGGACCTACATCACATCCCTTTTTTCCCCCCAGTTTAAAATATCTGAGAACTATGACAATTTGTCCTAAGTTATTAGACAATTTTAATCCTAACCCCTTAATTCTATTACAGTACAGTAACAATATATAAAATTACACATCAGCATAATCAATAAACCCTAGCAGTGGAAACGAATAACAATGGCTCTGTTGTGAAATCTTATCACCATTTCCCCTTCAAACTTAGTACAGTGGACCTTCGAATTTAGTAGTGCCATTTCTGTATGCAAAACTATTTTTATTATCTATAAAATGTATTTTTTGTTAATATTTCCCATAGGAAATAATGTAAATCCAATTAAACCATTCCAGACACCCAAAAATATTAACAGAAAATACATTTTATAGATAAAAATAGTTTTGCATATAGAAATGGCACTACTAAATTCGAGGGTCCACTGTATCTGGCTCCAGTACCTTCCTGTACATTACTAGAAATAAACTAGCTCCTGTAGTCACCCTCGCTAATTAACCATTAAGCCAAACCTCTTAAGGTTTTTCAGGTGTGAAAAATAGCTCAAGCAGGTATTATTCCTTCAAGTACTTGCAACTGAACCAATGCACGACCACAAGGTTGCATTTTTCTTGCACCCTTCTGCAACCATTCGCGACAAGGCAGGAATCGCAACCAGGACTCATCATTATCCTATTTCTCGGAACTGCAAAAGCCTCCCATTCCTTGCATAAGGCAAATCCTCTTCTGACGGCGAGGCGATTGGTGTTTGCAGTTCTCCACCTAAAAAGGAAATGCATCCTATCTCTACGGTGATCCCTCCCAGCAAGGAGCTAGCTCAAATAATATAAAACACATGTATGTCCCAACAGTTGACATAAAATAGATAATCCCCTGACAGTAGAGATACCATACGTAAAAGAAGTAACCAGACTGTTCAGTTTTCCCCCAGCTTCATTGGCTAGTAGTAAAGGTCATGATTGACTTGACTGGGGGGCAGGCTATTGACCCAGAGGAAAGCTCTCTACAAATCATTGGGCAAGGGGGGTAGAAATATGAAGCCATGACTCGATCCATGACAGCACTTTTCCCCCAATGCCATGAGCAGCCACTTTCTTCAACAGTCTCTGATGTGGTACTCTATCAAAAACCTCACTAAAATCTAAATAAACAATATCGAATTCTTTATCCTGATCAACGGCCTCAGAAGCTTTGCTGAAGGAGGTTAATAAATTAGTTAGGCAGGAATGGCCCCTGGTGAATCCATGTTGAGTATCATTAATCAAATTATGCCTATCGAGATGGCTTCTTATATTATCAGCTATAATTGACTCTAGTAATTTGCCTACAATTGAGGTTAGACTTACTGGGTGGTAATTTGACGGCAACAACTTGTCCCCTGCTTTAAAAATAGGAATTACCTTAGCCATCTTCCACATATCAGGCACTACACCTGTTTGAATAGATAAATTAAAAATAGTTAAAGGTTCACAGAGTTCCATTTTGCATTCCTTAAGGACCCTTGAAAAAAATTCATCAGGACCAGGAGATTTATTTTGCTTCAAACGGTCTATTTGTTTGATAGCCATTTCGCTAGTGACTGTGATATTACATAATTTATCCTCTTCAGACTCGCTAAAAAACCTAATTATTGGGATGTTATTAGTGTCTTCCTGAGTAAAAACAGATAAAATAATTATTAAAAATAGAGCACATTTCATTCTCTTTGTCGGTAAGAACTCCATAGTCATTTTTAAGAGGACCTATCTTATCTCTAACGTTTGTTCTATACACCTGGAAAAAACTTTTAGGGTTAGATTTCAAATCCCTAGCAACTTTAATTTCATAGTCCCGTTCAGCTTTTCCTATCCCCTTTTTAACGTCCCTCTTAATGTCAATATACTGATTCATAAGAAGACCCTCACCTCATTTGATATGCCTATAAATGCCTTTCTTCTGCCCTAAAACATATTTGAGCCTATTATTCATCCGTTTTGGGTCATTTCTATTCGATCTAATTTCTTTATGTGGGATAAATGTTCTTTGGGCAGCATATATAGTGTTCAGAAAACTCTCATATTGGTAGCTCTCTTCGTTACCCCACTCCACAGATGACAAGTGTTCTCTAAGCCCATTGTAATCTGCTAAGCGAAAATCTGGGACCGTTACTGAGTTATCCCTACTATCATACTTCCATTCGATGCTAAAGGTAACTGATTTATGATCACTTGCGTCGAGTTCCTCTGTAATTTCTAAATTAACAAGGGTTTCCTTTTTTGCCAGAACCAAATAAAACAGGTTATTTCCCCCATGTAGGTTCTGTCACAAACTGCTTCAAAAAACAATCCTGAACTACTTCTAAGAAATTGTTCGATTCTAAATTCCCAGTTAAGAAATTGCAATCAATCTGACTAAAGTTGAAGTCCCCTAGAATTACTATGTAGAAGAGAGAATGTAGTCACTGAGAGGTCACGTCCCTCTCAGATCAAACGATTCTCACTTGAAAAAGTTGTCCAAGGTGCTTTCTCTTCTGTACCAAGACGCCTTTGTGTTGCAGTGTCTGACACTTGAGTATCAAAATGGTATACAATACCAACAGGTTGGTAGGTAAAACACATGGGCAACAGTTAGCTAACTTTATTTCGAAACATTTTGCCTAACTGCCTACCTGTCGGTATTATATACTTCGTACCATTTTGATATTCACTCTGTCAGACATTGCAACCCATAGGCATCTTGATACAGAAGAGAAAACACCTTGGATAACTTTTTCAAGTGAGAATCGTTTGATCTGAGAGGGATGTGGCTACATTCTCTCTCCTACCAGCCTGCACTTTCTTTTTTCAACACACTGGATGTATCCCACCAAGGCAGGGTGGCCCAAAAGGAAAAATGAAAGTTTCTCCTTTTACATTTAGTAATATATACAGGAGAAGAGGTTACTAGCCCCTTGCTCCCGGCATTTTAGTCGCCTCTTACAACACGCATGGCTTACGGAGGAAGAATTCTGTTCCACTTCCCCATGGAGATAAGACAAAATAAGCAAGAACTAGAAAGAAAATAGAAGAAAACCCAGAGGGGGTGTATATATACTTGTTTCGGTGGGGGGAAATAAATGGGATTAAATATGGAGTATCTGAGAGAGTTAGAGCTAAGGAAGGGGTAGCAATAATGTTGAAGGATCAGTTATGGAAGGAGAAAAGAGAATATGAATGTGTATATTTAAGGATTATGTGGATTAAAGTAAAGGTTGGATGCAAAAAGTGGGTCATAATAATCGTGTAGACACCTGGAGAAGAGAGGAATGTAGAGGAGAGAGAGAGATTTTGGGAGATGTTAAGTGAATGTATAGGAACCTTTGAACCAAGTGAGAGAGTAATTGTGGTAGGGGACCTGAATGCTAAAGTAGGAGAAACTTTTAAGAGAGGGTGTGGTAGGTAAGTTTGGGGTGCCAGGTGTAAATGATAATGGGAGCCCTTTGATTGAACTTTGTATAGAAAGGGGTTTAGTTATAGGTAATACATATTTTGAGAAAAAGAGGATAAATAAGTATACAAGATATGATGTAGGGTGAAATGACAGTAGTTTGTTGGATTATGTATTGGTAGATACGACTGTTGAGTAGACTTCAGGATGTACATGTTTATAGAGGGGCCACAGATATATCAGATCACTTTTTAGTTGTAGCTATACTGAGAGTAAAAGGTAGATAGGATACAAGGGGAATAGAAGCATCAGGGAAAAGAGAGGTGAAGGTTTATGAACTAAAAGAGGAGGCAGTTAGGGTAAGATATAAACAGCTATTGGAGGATAGATGGGCTAATGAGAGCATAGGCAATGGGGTCGAAGAGGTATGGGGTAGGTTTAAAAATGTAGTGTTAGAGT